GGCACTTAACAACAACAACAACCACACTCCAAAATGTGTAAAGTGATTCACGGCAGAGGCAGATACAGCTGGATTTGCATCTTCAGCAAGCTGTACCTTCTTCTGGGGTCTTTCTTCATCTGCCAAATGGGCATCCAAGTCCACAGACTTAAACACAGGATTTATATTCAGTCAGACTTGCTATTGTTGTTAGATGCCATCGAGTCGGTTCCTACTCACAGTGACCTTATGCACGATAGAACGAAACACTGCCCGGTCCTGTGCCAACCTGACAATCATTGTTACTCTTGAGTCCATTGCTGCTGCCACTGTGCCAATCAATCCATCTCGTTGGGGAACTCCCTCTTTTTCGCTGACCCTCCACTGTACCAAGCATGATTTTCATCTCCAGGGTCTGGTCCCTCCTGATACTATGTCTGAAGTATGAGAACCAATAGATCTGTTTTGGAAGAAGTACAGCCAGAGTGCTCCTTGCCAGGTTTGAATTCTGTCTCTGTAGATCATTTCTATCTGTGTGGCCCTGGGCCAGTGTCCTGGATTGAATTGTGCCCCAGCACCACCATCACCACCCCATATATGTGTCAGCTTGGCTAGGCCATGATTCATCATGGTTTGACAGTTATGTGATGATCTCCCATGATATGATCTGATGATTAAAAACCAATAAGAAGATTAAGGGTGGGGGTTTTTTGTTCTTCTGTGTCATGAGTCGGTTCTCTACCATAGTGACGCCATATGGGGTTTCCAAGACAGTAAATCTTTTTGGGAGCAGAAAGTTTCATTTTTCTCTTATCCTTAATCCCATCATGACTCTGATTAGATGTCAGGGAGATTCCTAGGAGTGTGACTAGCAACACTTTTTATCTTACAAGAGATAAAAGGAGAGAGAAGTGAGCAGCAGGGAAGAGGGACCTACAACCACTAAGTAAGAAGAATCGGGAGTGTAGTTTGTCCTTTGGAGCTGGGTCCCTGCACTGTGAAGCTAGGGGCAGGGAAAGACTGATGCCAAAACACATGGAGATCTCCAAGGAATGCTGGGCCTACAGATGCTGAAAGGAGACAAAAACTGTTTCTCCAGTGCCAGCATTCTGAATTTGGACTTCTAGCCTCCTAAATTAGGAGAGAATCAACTTCTGGTTGTTACAGCCATCCACTTGTGTTTTTCTGTTAAATCAGCACTACAGAACTAAGACAAGGAGCTCTGGTAGCGTAGTGGTTACGAATTGGGCTGTGAACCACAAGGCCAGCAGTTTGAAACTACCAGCTGTTCCGCGGGAGAAAGATGAGGCTTTCTGCTCCCATAAAGATTTACAGCCTCGGAAACCCTATACAGGGTCGCTATGAGTCGGAACCAACTCCACGGCACATAACAACAACAGAAGTAAGACAGCCAGTAGGACTGATGTGAAATAAACAAGAGGCTGTCTGTACAGGGCTTAGCATGGTGCTTAGAACCTGATGATATGCAAGGTCCCCCTCCTGCCACCCAGCCCCCAACTCACCTGTCCAGGCGGATCTTCTTCCTGGCACTGGCCTCCCGGTACCGCCGCTCACCATCCTAAGGAGGGTAACAGGGACTAGCCAAGTGTCGGCAGGACAACCTTGGAGGGTTCAGATATCACTCTGGAGGCCTGAGGCACACCAACCTGACCAGGTACATGCCCAGGGACCGAGCTCTAGCCACTTCCCCTCATTGGCCCAAACTGTCCTCCTCTGTAAAGTGGAGCTCCTTAGAGAGCGTGGACAGTAGAGTAAAAACCCACCTGGAGAGAAAGTTCGCTAAGAGCCGGGACTCTTCTGAAGAATCATCATCAACTCTGAGGCTGGTGCCAATACCAGTCCCATTTTACAGAGGAGGAAACTGAGGCACAGAAAGGTAAAGTGGCTTGCCCAAGGTTTCAGCAGTAGTCAGGGGTGGAGCCAGCATCAGAACCCAACTGGCTTGACCTGGAGCCCACTCTTTTAACCATAACGTGTCTCTAGTCCCACCATTGGTGAGTGTTAAATGACAGAAGGTCTGTGAAAGCTCCCTGTATACTGTAACTGTCCCCACCCATCAGCAAGGCTCCCCACCCTTCCACCCACCACCCAGTCTTGACTACGTAACTTCACATGGGTTGTGAAGTGGGTTCTTCACCACCCATGCTTAGCATGTGAAGTAGGAGGTGTCAACGTCTCCAAGGTCAAAGCCAACTGGGTTTCAGATGGAACCCCAGGGCCTGGAACACAAGAGACACATGGGAGGATTTTTAACAGACAGTCTCTGAGCCCAGGCCCTGACTCTGATACTCTCTTATCACCCCTTACTCAATGCTTCCAGGACTGGCCAATATCACATACCACTGCCCTGTGGCCACAGGCCCATGGTACACAGATGGGAACTGAAGCTCACAGAGTCCTGACTCCAAAACTAGTGCTGTCCCAGCCCCTACGGTTTGTGAGCTCCTACTGACACCCACGACGAGCATTGTTCCAGGGTCTTCCAGGCAGAACGAGGTGCCCGCCTTGTGCCAGAGGCATCACAGGACACCCAGAGGGACAGGGTGGCCCACACTCCCCTCGGCCTGTCTGGAAGACTGATAGACTCACCCCTGGGGAGAGAAGGAGGAGAGTCAGAGGGTAGGCCAGGGCTCTGCTCCCACTTACCCCAGGCTGGGGCCGAATAAGGGGCAGCGTCTGGGGCTGGTCATCTGCATCAAGGACAACGAAGGTCATGAAGGCACTGTTGATGTGCTGCCGGTGGGTCTCGGCACCCTGGCGGTAGGCCTCCACGCACACACCCACCTCCATGCTGTTGGGGAGAGAAGGCAAGGCTTCCATGCTTGACAGACCTCCACATGTGCACCCACACACCTATCCACCCTTACCCCTGGATGCTCCTATAGATGTTCACAGAGCACCAACTGTGTGCTGGGCCCTGGAGTGGACACTCCATCACCACTGGTTGTCATCAAGTCAACTCCAACTCATGGGGACCCCATGTGTGCTAGAGTACAACTGTGCTCCATAGGTTTTTCAATGGATGATTTGGGAAGTAGATCACCAGGCCTTTCTTCCAATGTACCTCCAGCTAGACTAAAACTACCAACTTTCCACTATCAGCTGTGCACGTTAACCATTCGTGCTCCCCAGGGACTCTGAAGTAAAAACAGGAGGCACTAAAAGGAATAAAGCTGTCTGGTCCATGCCCTCTTGGACTGACAGCTAGGAGATGGGCACAAAGATATAAATATGTAATTATAAACTGCAAAGGGTTCTGAAAAGAAATAAGCAGAGAGGCAGGGATGGAGAGTCTAATTAGAGAAAAGGTTCATTACCCAATCTTCACAGCACTGTACCAGCCAGGCTCCTGACAGCTCGGTTGCTGCTGTTACGCTATCTGACTGTCTTTATGAATAACAGCAGCATCACATTCTTCTCACTTAAGAAGTGCTACAATCCCAGAAGGCAGACATTCTACAAATGTCTTGAGGAAATCAAGACCAGAATGGGACAGAGACTTTGCCCAAGGTCACATAACCAGTCAGGACTGAAAGCTAGACTCCACACCAGGTCTCAGGGCTCCTAGTTCAGGGTTTCCCCCTGTCCAGTAGCAGAGTGTATGCTGGTAGGACAGCAAGGAATGCTAATGATGATACAAGCCAGCAGCAGTGGCTGGCCTTAACTGAGTATTTTCTCTGGCGTTCTGCTAGTAACACCTTGTTGAATCCTCACAACTATGAGGCAGTTGTGGTGAGCGCCATTTCATAGACAAAAGAACTTAAGATTATAATCATTGTAATGAAACAAGGTGTATGATTTGGTGAATGTAAAACTGATGATCTGCCCTGTAAACTTTCACTCAATCCACAACAAAAACTTAAAGAAAAAAAAAGAAGACGACGAACTTAAGAGGGTTTACAACTTACACAAAGCCAAGAAGAGATGGGGCCAAATTTTGGGCCCAGGTAGACTGACTCTAGAGCTCTTAGTTTTAACGACTATGCTGGTGTGTTGTTGTTGTTGTTGTTGTTAAGTGTTGTCAAGTCAGTTCTGACTCATAGTGACCCTGTGTACAGGGTTTCCGAGGAGCAGCTGGTGGATTTGAACCACCAACCTTACGGTTAGCAGTCCAGTGCTTACCAGCTTACAGCACCACACTAAGACTATGTTTGTTGTTGTTGTTAAGTGCCGTTGAGTCGGTTCTGACCCATAGCAACCCTGTACAGGGTTTCCGAGGCTATGCTAGGATCTTTAAAATCACCAAAAAGACTTTTATTTAAAGTAAACTTTCATGGGTGTAGGGATCAGAATTCATTCCAAAGGTCGAGGTGGAGGAGACTATTGTCTGAAGACAACACTGGCAGGAGGTGGTCCTGGGATCTGAACCCTGGCAGAGACAGAGATGGCACAGGGACTGAGGGAGTACAGAGGAGGGGTCCTGCCCAGCCTAACCTTGGTGATGGTGGAGACACTTGGCAGTTTTGACCTTACTCCCATCCGCAGAGTGACAGGCTCCTAGAGGGTAGGGGTTTTTTCTAGGATTGGGACAAGCCCTCTGCCCTGGGGGACCCAGCCCACCTGTCCCATCTCCTCACCTGTGCTTGAAAGCATTGTTCACAATAGCCTTGAGCACCAGGCGGTCCCCAACCTGGGACGGGCCCCGGAAGTGGAACATCTCGATGGCCTTCAGTGTAGGGTGGGCACGACAGAGACGGCTAAAGAAGGACCGGCAGAGGCCAGGAGAAATCCCCCAGTGATTCAGCCACTGGTTTGGGCCAGTTTCCTCCCCCAACTCCCACCCTCAGCCCTGGCCCAGGACCCCAAGGATTGTACTCTGCACACCAGTCCCACCAACCCCAGTGACAGCTCTGCCCAGAGGAAATGAACAAAAGCCGCATTTCAAGTTAGAACACTGCTGTGACTGGCTGAGCTGGAGGGGGCAGAGGAAAGCCTGGGGTAAGTCTTACGGTATAACCCCTGCCCCATTTTCCTTCCAGTCTTTACTCCTTAGCACCCGCTGTTCTCACTGCATGGAAGCCCTCCCCATACACAAAGCTACTTGGCATTCAAGGCCCAGCTCAAATGCCCTTCCTCCAGGAAGTCCTCCCTGACCACCCAGCCTCTCACCCTGGTTGAGATCCTCTGGCACTTAGAGCTGGACTGCCTGTGATGCATTGCTATGCACTGTCTCCCACAGGTTAGACACAGAGGAGGGGCCATTTGAGCTAGGTTCTAAAGGATGACAGATACCAAGTCATGGAGGCATGAGAGTGTCCAACAGTGAATGGCAGTTACCATAACTAAATTTTTTGTAAATGATATTTAAGGTAGAACAAGCACTGGGTAGGCACAAACGTTTATAGAAGACAGGAAGCATTTTCACTCTAGAAAGGAGGGAATTTCTCAGAAAAGGATTACTGGAAGAGGTGGGTAGGATTTTAATAGGCCAAGATGAGTCGGAGATGTCATGGCAGGATGTTAGACCAGAAGCAAAGGGAGAAATGGTCAAGAGCTTGATTTGATACAACCTAAGATACACGGACTTCATTCTTCTTGGATCAACTATCAACACTCACAGAAGCAGCAGTCAAGAGATCAGATGACGTATTGCATTAGACAAATCTGCTGCACAAGAATTTTTAAAGTGTTGAAGAGCAAAGATGTCAGCTTAAGGATTAAGGTGCATTTGAAGCCATGGTATTTTCAATAGCCTCATATGGATGTGAAAGCTGGACAGTGAATAAGGGAGATCGTAGAAGAATTGATGCCTTTGAATTATGGTGTTGGAGGAGAATACTAAAAGTGCCATGGGCTTCCAAAAGAACCAATAGATTTATTTTGGAAGAAATGCAGCCCGAGTGCTCCTTGGAGGCCAGGATGGCTAAGCTTCGTCTCTCACGCTTTGGACATATTGTCAGGAGGAACAGTTGCTGGAGAAGGATATCATGCTGGGTAAGATGGAGGGTCAGAGAAAAAGAGGAAGACCCTCAACGAGATGGATCGGCCAGGTGGCAGCATTGATGGATTCAAGTGTGGCAACAGTAGTGAGGTTGGCCCAGGATCTGACATTGTTTCGTTCTGCTGTGCATAGGGTCACTATAAGTCAGTTCCAACTCGATGGCACCTAAGAACAAGATACAAGGAAGAGAGCAGGCAGAACCAGGCCAGGGGAGGCCCTGGTGCCAGGCTGTGGAGAAAAGGTCCCACAGAGCCTCATTTCTCTTTGGCATTTTGCTAGTAACACCTCTGGTTCTCTTGTCTGAAAGCCCTGGTTACCACAACAGACCAGCCAAGATATTGAAGCATCGGATGCAAGCTTCAAGCTGGGGTTTCTCCCAGAAAGGAAACTGGCAAAGGGAAGGAGGAGAAAAAGGGACGGGTGGGGGCAGGGGACCCTCCACTCACCTGGCTGCAATGGTGGCCACGTTCTCCATCCAGGCCATGATCTGGCCCCCAAAGGTGTTACCCTGGTGATTGGCGTGGGGTGGCAGGACCAGCTCTACGCTCTCCACGCGGGTCTTCTCGGCCGGCACCATGCGACTGCAGTCTCTACTTTCCAGATCTGACCAGGGGAAGGGGCAAGGGGAGGGATGCAGGTGCCTCCACCCCCAATTCAGTTTCCTTTATTTGCTCAGCACTGAGTGTGCACATGCAGTCCTGCTGTGGTGCTGTAGGATAAGCACTGGATCCAAATGTCTGCTTGAGCCACAAGGCCAGTGATTCAGACTCCTTGGAAACCCTGCTATGAGTTGGAACTGACTCCACAACGCTTAACAACTACAACAACAAGTGTGCACACACATGGAGTTGCCATGAGTCAGAGGCCAACTCAATGGCAGTTAACAACTCCAAGTGTGCATAAGGCTCGGGCAGGTCCTGATGGGGACGGGGGAAATGGGAAGAGAGACGAGTCTGTCACAGGCCAGCAGATGGAACATCACTTTGGGGACAAGACACAGCTGGGTCTGCAGCTCAGCTCCACCCCATACTGACTGTGTGACCTCAGTCAAAACTAATCGTCTCCCTGACCCTCAATTTCCTCATCTGTAAAAGGTGACTGTCAAACCCAACCCCATAGGACTGTCTGAAGGTGAAACACGATGACAGTTATAAAGGGCATTAGCATGCTCTCCCCCTACCTCTGCCCTGACACTCCACTGTTCCTGAGGACAATGGCATTAGAATAGCCTCAGTAAGAGAGGCCAGGAAGTGGACAGGGCTTTGAGGGTCAGGGAAGCAGATGCCAACAAGCCAACCCTGCCATCCACCTCCCAGGGAGTTTCGTCTCCAGGAAGAGCCCAACACAGAGTGACATTTCACTTGGTTTTCAGGCCACTCAGAGATGCCACAGGCGGGAAGGTAGAGGGTACACTGAGCCAAGGCCTGGGGACAATGAAGCCTTTGGTTTAGTTGGACTTGAGGGCAATGAATGAGATAGCACAGAAGAGACTGAGTGGTCCACAGGGGAGCTGGGCACCAGGCTGAGGCAGCAGGGAGATGTAGATGGGTTGTGAGGAGAGGGTGACTAGGATGCTGCAGTGAAATGGGAGGAGGACCAAGGAGGTCTCAACAAAGGTGGGGAGAACTGGGCAGCCCAGCTAGAACCTCCAATCAAAACACACACGTGAATTCAAAAGCAAGATGCTTTTGCTGGGGTCAGCGTTTTCCATCTGCTCTCTCCCTACTCTGGGAAAGGGAGCTACTTTAATGTGTCCTAAAATCACCTCTGTCTAGAAGCAGCTAGTGTGCTAACATTCTGGAGACTGGTAAACAAGTCCAAGGTCACTCCTCTGGGCCTTTGCCCACTGTGCCACTCTCAGGAATGCCCTTCCTTGCCTGTCAAAGTCCTATCCACTAGAGATGGAGCAGCTGGGGACTCTAGACCCAGAGAGGAAGAAGGGCTGTGTGCTGATGACCAGGGGGCAGGCTTGCAGGGTATACCCTTTGGTTGGTTGATGATGCATGGAGGGGATTGTAACCATGGCAATGAAACGATATATGATAGGATGAATGTAAAGCTAATGTTCTCCCATGTAAACTATCACATAACTCACAAGAAAACCTATTTAAAAAAAAAAAAAAAAAAGTCTTATCCACTCCAAAGTGGATCTTGGTGTACTGATTGGGAACAATATCCAAGGTACAGTTTTAAAGGGAAAAAAGCAAGAGACAGAACAATATGGACTATATGTTCCTGTTTGGGTAGAAAGAGGAGACTATGCTATTTTTAAAACCACCACTATAAGACCAAAAGATCAACAATTACTCAAAAGCACAGATGAGAAGAGAGGACAGGGAAACTAGAATACTGGAAAGGGAGTAAAGGGAACACAAAGAGAATGTTGACACATTGTGATAAATGTAACTGATACCACCTAATAATCTGTGTGGAAATTGTCAACTTGGATCCTAATATGCTGTATACTTTCACCAAAAACAAAAAGTAAAAAATGTATTAAGGTGTTGTTAAGTGCTGTCGATTCGGTTCTGATTCACAGTGACCCTATATAGGGTTTCCAAGGAGAGACTGGTGAGCTTGAACTGCTGACCTTTCGGTTCAAACTGACATCGCAATCCAGCACATTAACCCAAAGTGCCATGTCTTTAAAAATGGAGGAGTGGTGGAGACCAGTGACACAATGGTTAAGCAGCCGAATGGCACACAGCCTGTTAACCAAAAAGTGGACGAATAATGACCTTACATAGGGCTTCCGAGGCTATAGATCTTTATGGGAGCAGAAAGCTTCATCTTTCTCTTAAGGAGCTATGGGTGGGTTTGAACTGCTGATCTCAAGGTTATCCAACAATGCCACAAGGGCTTGTCAATAAAATATTATACTAAAAAAGGGGGGGGGGCTAAGGAGTCCTGGTGACACAATGATTGAGCAGCCAACTGCTAATCAAAACACTGACAGTTCAAACCCACCAACAGCTACGAGGAAGAAAAGGTCCAGCAACTTGTTCCTGTAAAAGCTACAGCCTAGGAAACCCTGTGAAACAGTCCTATTCTGTCAATAAGATCACCGTAAGTTGGAGTCAACTCAGTGACAAAAAGCAGCAACACCATGATACATTTGTTGTTGTTGGTAAGTGCCATGGAGTCGGTTCCGACTCATAGCAATCCTGTATAAGGTTACCAAGGAGCAGCTGGTGAGTTTGAGCCACCGACCTTTTGGCCAGCTGCATCTCCTACAGTGCCACATCAGGACATAATACATACATAGTCTCAAACATGCAGAGGATGCTTCCAGAAAATACCCAAAACAAGTACCAGTAGTTGTCTTTAGGGAGGACGCCTGGGTTCTGGGGAAGGAGGGAGTCTTGATTTTTAGTTTATACTTTTAAGATACATGTGTTTACAAGGGGGCTTCAAAAAGTTCGTGGAAAATGGAATTTAAATAAAATGGAATTTTCCCATGAAATTTTTGAAGCCCCTTCATATGCATTTTTTTTTTTTTTTAAATTCTACTGATCTTTAAGGCCTGGCTCAATATTATCTTCCCAAATATCTTGGCTTCTAGAAACCCAAATGTGCTTTGTCCATCACAAAGGTCTCTCTATATGTGCTAACCCCCCTTTTCCTAAAAGGGGCCTTGAAGTCACAAAGACCAGACACGCTTGAGACCACCAGTGGGATGGACATCCCAAGTAGACCTCCTCTCTCCCTCTGCCCAGTAAGGCCTAAAGCACTCGCTGCCCTCCCACACACGTCTAGCAGCTGCTCACCATCCTGAATGGAGCAGTTGGCCAGGAGGTCCTTGATGGTATCCGCGTAGACCAGCCGCATGCGCCGGCGCTCAGCGGCCACACTGTGCTCAGTCTTCTCCTCCTCTGTCAGAGGTGTAGTCTGCTTCAGCTTCACCTGCCGCCAATAGATGGGGTGATAGGGGCTCAGGAAAAGTGTCACCAAAAAGCACAGCCCCCATCACAACCCACATCCCGGACCCTCTCCACCTCGTCTCATGCCTGGGGCTGGCACACAGTCACCCTGAGACTGCCATTTGAGTGCAAGTCTCCCCCTCTATCCCACCTTATGCCTGATACATCCTATTTGTCCTTCAAATGTCCTCCAGCCAACTGGGCAAAGATGCAGAGGATGAAGAATTCTCAGATGGGATTTTCAGTGACAGGTTGGAAAGCAAACAGGGAATGCTGTTAGGAGCTGTGGATTCCCAGCTGCACCCCTTCTTGAGCCCTTCCCCTCCCTGGTCCAGCCCCTCTCTCTCAATGCAAGACCACCAGGCAACGCCAAAGTTGCCAAGATGCACTCACCTTGGAAAGCTCCCGGTGGGCCACAAAGGTGGCCAAGGCCTTGCACACGCTCCATTGTTTCTCGGAGCACAGGTCCTCAGAAGTCACCTGGATGCCCACCTGAAGAGAAAGTGATGTGAGAGGAGTGAGGAGGAAGGAAATGCTCACCAATTGAAGTCCTAAAGCTTATTGGGTCAGGAAGTCCTGTCCCAGGCCAGGTCACCACTATTTCTGCTGAATCTAAGGGACCCAGGGTAGGTTCTGGCTCTACCCACCAACTCACTAGGAAACCTTGGGCAAGTCATTTTCCTTCACTGGGCCGCAGTTTTCTCATCTGTAAACTGGGAGTGATCTTGCTTACCATATAAGGCTATTGAGAGAGTTAAGATGAGAATGTGTCCATGAAAGAGCTTTTAAAATAGGTAAGTCATTTGCCATCAAGCCGATTCTAACTCGTGGCAGTTCCATGTATTTCAGAGAAGAACTGCGCACCAAAGGGGTTTCAATGCTTGTGCTCTTTCAGATGTGGATAGCCAGGCCTTTCTTCCAAGGCACCTCTGAGTAGATTCAAACAGTCAACCTTACAGTTAGTAGCTGAGTGCTAAACCATTTGCTTTTATGCAGGGACCTCAAAACAGGTAATCCACTACAGTCTAGTAGATGCATAGCTCCCCTGTATAGGGTTTCTGAGGCTGTAAATCTTTCCCCTTAGGAGCAGCTGGTGGGTTTGAACTGCAAACCTTGTGGTTAGCCATCTAGTGCTTATCCTATAGAACCAGCAGGGCTTCTTTCAAACCAGGTAAAGCATTGGCTAACTTTAAAGGGTAGACCCATCGCTGCCCCAAGGGCACTTAGATATTTATGGGGTTCCCAGGGCACAGTCAGGATGCTGCTATCCTCAGGAACCACTGGCCCCTCAGTCCATCAGAGACCTTCCTCCCTTGCTCACAGAATCTTGTGCATTCTCACATAGGCCTCCCACTAAACCTGCAACAACCCTGCAGTGTAAGAATAAAGTTCCCATTTTACAGCTGAGCAAACAGAGGCTGTAGGAAGTCAGCTAACAGGCCAGAGACAAAGTCCAGCGCTCTCCTTGCTCTGGTCCTGCTGCCTCCAGCATCCGGCACAGTAGTTGTTCCGATAACCCTGGGACCACATTGTTGCTGCAGCGAAGGCTGGGGTCTAAGGCAAGAGTCAGGAGACTGGGAGTCAGGTCCCACATTGGATTCTATGTGGTTTGGTAACCTGAAGCAAGCACTTTCCCTTCTCTGGGCCTCAGTTTTCCCTTCTGTGCTATGGGGTCTTAAACATGCAGAGCCTTAGGGTCCTCCCAGTCATTTCAGAATTCAGCAGCTTCAACCTGAACTGTGTGTGTATGTGCTTTGGGGCTGGAGAAAAGGTGTAAAATACACACACACAAGCAGTGCCACCCCACACACCTCCATGCTGGAGTTGAAGGCCCGGTTCACCTTGGCCTTGATATTCACCACGTGTCCAACACTGGGGAGAGAAAAAGAGGAGGTGAGCCTTCTAGATGACACAGAGGGAAGGATGAGGGCTTCAGATGTGCATGGGGCATCTGCGAGGGGCACTGGCAGAAGAGCTTCGTGACCTACAGAACAGATTCACATCTGTGATGCCAGGTCCTCAAAGCAAGCCAGCAGGATTGTGTCAGCACCTCATTCTACAGGTGGGGAAGGTGAGACCGAGAGGGTGGCATGACTCCGCTCACTGTCTTCTATCTTCTATTCCCCTTTGTCAGTTAAGGCTCAAGCTTCAGGCACAGTGGTCACTGTGCTGTTAGCTCAATGGTCACCTTCTCCAAGAAGCCCTCCCTGCCCAGGCCAGATCCCAACCAGGTGCTCTAGTAAGCCCGTGAGACTCACCTTCACAACATTTCTCCCAGCAGACTGATCTGTTTCCTCAACAACCGTTAAGTGTCTCTGAGACTAGGTTATGTCTGTTTTACTCACCATTGACTCTGCACAGGGTAGGTCCTCAGTAAATAGTATCTAACTGAATTAGTGAACTGCACATTTTTTGAATGCCTAACAGTTAACAACAACAACAAGCAAGTATAAGGGACTATAAGAAAAGATGAGGGGAGACAGGGTGGCTTAAGCAACAGAGAGGTTAAGCCATTTACCCAAAATTGCTCAGCAAAAAAGTAGCAGTGCCTGGATTCTAGACCAGGTCTGTTGGTTGCATCAGCCCTGGTCTTTCTAGCTGCAGTCTGCCTCTCTGGAATGGTTCCCCAATCCTGAGGAACAATCAGAATCTCCAGAGGAGCCAGCTAGCCTGCCCTGGTGTCTAACAAAGAAATAGAGGGGACCCAGCAAGTGGATGGTGGGGAGATGGCTGGAGGCTGAGGAACTGGCCTTCATGTGACCTTGAGCAATTCCTTTCTCCTCTCTGTGTCCTGGCTCATAAATATGGAGAACACAGTGCTGAATGCTTCCTCAAATAACAAAATGTTCTCTGCAAAGAAAGAGAGCCAGAAGTCCAAGGGAACAGAGCAGCCTATGGAGTCTATTAGCCTGAAGGTACAGTTCACCTTGGCCTTGATAAGAAAGCCATATTGGCAGCTCTGCCTTCCTCCTGCCTGGGAAAGGTCCCTTCCTAGAGGCCTGTTGGTCACGGGTTCCAGTCAAGCTTTATCTTGACTGTAATACTAGCAAGCTGTGTGATCTTGAGTGAGTCACTTTGCTCTGAGACTGTTTCCTTGTCTGTTAAGTAGAGTGAATGCATGACTACTGTCTTCAGTAGATTCTAGGATCCAGTGAGAGAACTTGTGCTGAGCCCAGAACCAGGCCAGCCTGCAGCAGGAGAGCTCATTAAATAACACAAGCTCACATTTGCCAAGGGTTTACTAATTTCTGCTAATTTTCTTAGCAGTACCAATGGTTCAGGAGCCCTGGCAGTATAATGGATTAGGAGCTGGGCTGCTAACTATAAGGCCAGCAGTTGAATCTACCAGTTGCTCCACAGGAGAAGGATGAGGCTTTCTGCTTCCATAAAGATTTACAGCTTCAGAAGCCCTATCCAGGGTCACTATGAGTTGGAACTGACTTGTCAGCACACAACCACGACCACCAGTGGTTATGTATGGCACAGTTATTTTTGGATACTTGAAGGAATGAAGTCTACAACTTGCTTTTAAATAGTTTAGGGTGAAAAAGTATATATATTTATCGCTATGGGTTGGTACTGATTCGATGGAACCTAACAACAAACACAACATCTACCAATGACTACCCATATGTAGTGTTGTTAGGTGTCATCAAGTCGATTTCAACTAAGAGTGACCCCACGTGACAGAATAGAGCTGTTCCCACAGAGTTTCCTGCAGAGTTGCTGGGTGAGTTCAAACCACCAGCTTTTCAGTTAGCAACTAAGCACTGAACCACAGATAAAGTAAATTGAGCAGAATGTCTATTATTGAATCTCAGTGGCAAGGGCTATTGTTCTATTCAATGTTTCTATATGTTTGAAAGTTTTCATGATAAAAAGTTAGAAAAACAACAAACTTCCATGGTTCCCAAATAAAAATAAAAGCCTATTTTCTGAGGCCCTAGAAAAAGAAGGAATTTAAGACTCTTCCTCCTTGATAGTTCTCCTATTTGGACTTCAGAGTTTTGCTTCCTTCCTTCCATCCCATCATCCATCCCACTGGTTCCTTCTCCAAGGTCACTGCCCAGTATCCTTAACCCTCCCACTGCCCAAGCTCTGAGTCCCCAGCTCCCAGGTGCCCTTCCAGGTGCTCTCCACACTGAGGAGAGGCAGTTTCACAAACACAAATCTGACCCCTGTTCAAGCCTTTCCCCAAGATCAATTCCCCAGGGATACAGGAGCATGTTAAATGATACCACAGTAACGCCAATAGCAAAGTCCAGACCATGGAGAACTCTAAGGGGCAAATAACCAAGTTTCCTCAACAAATAAATGTCAGAAGAAAGACGAGACAGAGAGAGAGAGAGCTAGGTTGGGGGACAAGAGAGCAAGAGAGCCTATATAATTTTTTAAAGACTTAATACATTTTTTAAAGACTTAACCTTATTTGGATCCTGACTTGAAAAGGAAAGATCGATAAATAGACAGATGTAAAATTAAACAAAAAGAATTCATGAACAAAAGAGAATGAAGGAAACCAAAGGCTCAAAGAAGAAACTAGTCCACACAAACCACGCCGCTTCTAACCTGAGACCAGAAGAACTAGATGGTGCCCAGCTACACTACCAACTACACTATACTACCAGGGACGCAATAGAAGGTCCAAGATAAAATGGGGGAAAGTTTAGAACAAAATTGAAATTCCTACAAGGCCAGGACAGACCTACTGGGATAATAGATGAACCCCTGAAACTACTGCCCTAAGATGTCCTTTGAAATTGGCACTGAAGCCACTCCTGGCCAAATAATAGAGTATTATTTAGCCAAATAATAGAGTAGCTTGTAAGATACACAATATCATCATTTTAAAATGCCCTCCCTTAAACAATCAACTATATGAGATCAATCTGTCAACATTTACCTAAGAGTAAAGATGAGAAGGCAAGGAAGGAAGGGAAACAAGATTAATACAAACAGAACAAACAGAATATTGACACACTGTGAAAATTATAAACAATGTCATGAAAAAATCTGTATAAAAATTGTTAAATAGGAACCTAATTTACTGTGCAAATTTTCACCTAAAACTGATGTTGTTGTTGTAAGTGCTGTCAAGTTAGTTCTGACTCCTAGCAACCCTGTACTCGGTTTCCAAGGAGTGGCTGGTGAGTTTAAACTGCTGATGCCATGGTTCAAACTGACTTTGACATTCAGTGCTTATCCTACAGCACCACACCAAGACTGATATTAGTAAGGAATTACTCTTTTTCTTAAGATGCAGTAATTGTATTAAAGTTATATTTAAAAAGAAAAAAAAAAAAAATAGAGTCATTACCTCTCAGATACGCTTTGAAATATTTTAAATGGCGAAAGCAAACAGAAGAAACTTTTCCTTCATTTCCTTGGGAGCAGGCAGGTCCTTGCCCACTTTCCCAGAATCCTTTATTGTCTTCTGTGTCTGCAGTTGCTCTCCCCAGACTCACCTTCACCCTACTGGATCCTGTGGCAGGTCCATCCATCATTATCCACACAGCCCTGCCCCTGTCTCTACCCTGAGCAACTCCAAGTCCCAGAACCTTTGCTGGCAGCAGGGACCCAGAGCTGGCCAGAAACGACTCTGCTGGTCATCAGTCTGTGGCTACTTACAGTGCTGACAGTATTGAAATGAGCTCAAACACCTCCTCCAGGAAGCCTCCCTTGACTACCCTCTGTACCTCTGTACCTATCCCTAGACATGTAGGTGAAATAGGGCTCAGGGCCAGCTATCTGCCTGGTATTATGTCCTGAATCCTCTAACTATTTACTTGTGTGACTGAAGCTAGTTACTTCACTTCTCTGTGCCTCAGTTTCCTCATCTGAGTAAACTACCACATTCAAAAAACCATCAGTGGAACTTCCGAGACTACGGCCCTTAGTCACCCTTCAGGCCCGGAACTAGACTCACCCTGTGGTTCAGTTTTCAGCCAGCCAGGTCTCTACGGTGAACAGTAACACTAGGGAGGTATACACTTCTTAGAATCATCAACTGTTTGAGCAGCATTTGCCCAAGGACAGAGTTCAGAAAGCAGGAAAGATTAGGAAAAAGGGAAGAATGCAAATAAATGGGCCTGGTCCAGAGGAGGTACTCAACTAATACTAAAGAGTAGTTTTAATACAAGTAATTAAATAAGAAATGAGTGAATGAATGAATGAATGAGTGCAGGGGCTGGCCAAACTTTTTCCTGAACTGTGATACACTGGGTTAAGTATTGAATTGTTAACTGCCAAGTTGGTGATTCAAACCCACCAGCTGCTCTGTGAGAAAAAACATGAAGCTGTGAGGAAAAGATCTCCAGTCTCGGACACCCTAAGGAGCAGTTTGACTCTGTCCTATAGGGTTGCTGTGAGTCTGAACGGACCCGATGGCAGTGAGTACGGTTTTGGCGGCACACTGGATACCCAAGTCTGTCTGGAGTAAGGGTTTGGCATACCCCTTGGGTTCCAGAAGCAGGACAGAGATTGGTGGGCGACACAATAGGGAGACAAAGCTCAACAGGGTGAAATAAATAGCTTTCTAACCAGTCCCATCCACTGCTGTCAAGTCAATCTGGACTCATAGTAACTGTCTATGACGGAGCACAACTGTTTCTTAGGGTTCCCAAGACTGTAAATCTTTACAGGAGCAGACTTTGTCCTGTGTAGCAGCTGATAGTTTTGAACCAGCAACCCTATAGTTAGCAGTCCAGTGCTTAACATACTATGTCACCAGGGATCCTGCTTCTGACCAATAGAACAATTTTTTAGAAAGGGTTTACCTTGTAAGGTAGTGAGCCCCTCATCCTTAGAAATATGTAAGCAAAGGTTCAATGGCTCAAGCTTCTAGCTCAGGTTTTGCCTGGGATCCTCCTCCCACAGAGAATGAGCTAGCAAGTCATTCGCTTAAGTCTAATCCCTTCCAATTTACAGATAAGAACACTAAGGCCCAGAGGGAGAGGCTGACTTCCTCAAAATCACACAGCATATCATGTCACTATCTCAGCATGTTCGAATCTGAAGACCTTTCCTTGACCTCACCCTGGCCCAGGGAACCTATCCCATAGGACCCTGCAGCAGGACAGCTCTCGGATCACTGCTGTCCCAGCCCCTGCACTTGGATCATTACTGCCCTTTGGTCAGTCCACTCAGGTTCCTGCAGCACACAGGCTGACCAAGTGGGAAGATGGAAGAGCCGACACTAAGGTCATTGTGGGGAGACCATGAGGTCACTTACCTAATGGTGTGCTCGAAATAGATGTCGTCCATCGAGGCTGTGACGCAGGGGCAGCCAGCATGCCTCTCCGCTGGCACCGGGGGAAGAAAGCCATATGTTAGTGGCCTACCTGGAAGCTGTAGTCCCACCTTGAGATGCTTCTCCAACCACATGAGCTCAAATAATGCTCCTCACTCACCTCAGTTACATGCCCTGACCCCATCTTACATATCTGGGTTTCATTTGTCTCTGGGTTTCACTAGACTACAAGTCACATGAGAGCAAAGTCTTTGGACTGTTGCTTATCTTGGTCAATGTGGTACCCTACTCCTTGGAATAGCGCCTGCACATGTTGAGTCATGTGCCGTTGAATCGGTTCTGCAACGTATGTATAACAGAACTAAACACGGCCTGGTCCTGCACCATTCTTCACACTCTTGTTACACTTGAGCCCATTATTGGAACAGCGGTGACAACCCATCTCATCTCCTTGAGGGTCTTCCATTAGTTAGCCCTCTACCAAGCATGATAGTTAGTTGTCCCCTACTTCCCACATGGGCACGGGCCCATACCTCTGCCCAGTCAACTACACTCACTGTGGTCTCCTGGCTGAGTCCTTTCCCCCCCCCACAGGATCCATTTGGTGCCTCAGTCCCACTGAGGACCCTCCCCTGCCCTCAGGCCAGGTCAAAGCCTCTAGTCTGTTCTTACAGGGTAGGGGGTGGGGGGGCAGTCGGGTCACTTGTCCAATCCCCACTGCACTGTGACCTCCCTGTGGACTGGAGAACGCTGGTACAACAAAAGGAACGAGTGAGTTCCATCCAGCTCAGCACAGAGAGCACAATCCGGAGAACACTTTCAAGCCAATCTTTAAGAAGCCACATTCAAGGCTGTGCTGTGTTGGAGCAGGCGCCTAAAAGCGGTGGGAAGTAGGGGAATGAGTGGTGGGCCTGAGCTGAGGCTTGAGAAATTGGGGCAGACATTTCAGGCAAGTGGATCAGCATGAACAAACTTGGGAACAACAGAGACCACTTAGAAAACCTTGGGGAAAGCCTTGGGGGCCCTGGGCTGCATGGGTTAAATTCTCAGGATTAAAATTACAGCCTAGGAAGCCCCACGGGCCTGGTCTACTCTGCCCTGTGAGTGGCTAAGAGTCGTAAGAGTCAACTGGACAACAAGCACAGCCAGCACTGTGGTCTGGGGGCCGGAGGGTGGGAAGCCTGTGGGGCCGGCAGTGGCCTCACCAGACAGGCAGGCTGCAGTATCAATCCACTTGAGCAGTTGCCCGATACTCAGCTCGCTGCGATGGTTGGTGTGGCAGGGCAGTACCAGCTGGCTCATCTGCACCTCGGTGGGGTTCCGGTACCCCTCACCGTCTGCCATGGTGCTGTTGAGGTCCTCTGCACGAGACGCTGATTTCCTGGATGAGCGGCTCGAGAATACAGAGGCAAGGCCCTGGGAAGAAGGCAGGGGCAGAGGTCAGCTAGCTGTATGTGTCATGGGTTTGACCAGTCATGACACTTCAAGGACAGGGGAAGGAAGAGGAGAGAGCACCCAGGGCCACCCTCCCACCAGATCCCAGGGGCCTCTTCTACCCACCACTTCCTTTGGGCCGACAACTCCTTTTCCCCCCACAGGATCCACTAGATGCCTCAGTAACACAAGCATGGACCCATAAGAGATGACTAGTGCAGAGAATCCTGTCCTCCCTGCTTCATCTTGTGGGCCAGCTTTTACAAGCTCTGCCTCAAATTCGTCTTCATTCTTAAAAAGATTCCGCTTCTCCATGCAGAGGGAAGTGAAGTCACCCTTGTTAGTTGCTGTCGAGCTGATTCTGATTCATGACAACTTCACGAGTTTCAAAGCACAACTGCACTCCATGAAGTTGTCTGTAACCTTAAGGTAGCAGATCACCAGGCCTTTCTTAGGCAGCACCACTGGGTGGGTTTGAATTGCCAAACTGTTGACTAATTTGTTGTTGTTGTTGTTGTTGCTAAATGCCATTGACTCAGTTCCAATCCATAGCAACCCTGATGGTGAGCTTGAACCGCCGACCTTGCAGTTCAAATGACTTGCAGTCCAGCGCAAGTCAGTGTAAATCATTAGTGCCACCGGAAGGAGACAGCCTAGGGAGCCCATAGCAACTAAGTCAGAGGAGTAGTTGCCAACAAAGTGTTTCAAGAAAACAGCTCCTATTTCATCCCCTAATGGCCTCTTTCTTGGGGCACCTCCATTCCTCAGACTGCTTCAGGGGCAAAGCCTCCTTGGTGCTAATCTGACTTTAACACTTGGCTCTATTGACTCAGAGGACTCTGGGCAGACGCTGCCCAGACATCCAGTCTGGGCCAGGGCCACACAGCTGCCAGCTTGAGAACCACCACAAAATCCTCCACTCAAGACTCAAGGTACAGCTCTGCTCCCAAGCAGAAGAGGTGCAGAAGGCCTGTGTGTCCCTTGGGCCTGGGGAGGCAGAGAAGGAGCCATGCTACCATCACCTTTGTAGCCTGATTTCCCGAGTCAGACTGTGACGAAGAGTTGGGTACATGTGCATGTGTGCCAAAACAGCAGGAGGGACAGACACAGGACTTTCTCAGCTCATGGTCCACGATAACTGTGTGAGGATAACAGCTGTGTGAATGTAGCACTTCTTAAGAATCCTGGTGTGCATATAGTACTTCTGCTTAGGAGTCCTCGTGTGGCGCTGTAGGATAAGCATTTGACCTAAAGTTCAACTTGGACTGTAAGGTTGATGGTTCAAACTCACCAACCTCTCCTCGGAAACTCTATACAGGGTGGCTATGTGTCAGAACCAATTTGACAGCACATCATGAGAGCAACAAGAACCAAATACTCTTGGCAAGAACTTGAGATGTGCTAAATTCATTATCCACATCATAAACCAATGAGTTGGTTTCATTATTCTGTTCATTTTACAGATGGGAAAACTAAGGTCCAAGTAAGTGGCAAAGCCTAGCTGTGAATCCAGAGGTCTGGCTATAACCCCAGTGCCTCCCCACCACCCCGCACAGCTTGGCAGGGCCTCTGAAAGCTGAGATAAGGAGTCCAGGGCCTAGGCCTGGATTCAGAAGCAAAGAACACTATGGTGGAAACCAGATGGGGACACTGTCAGAGCTGCAGGACAGGGTCTGTATTCTTGAGCAGTTCCCTACACAAGATCCATTGGCTAAGTCAATACAGTCATTGCACTCCAAGAGAACTTATTCAAGGTCACTGACCACTACATGGTAGAACTAGGATTTGAACCAGAACTGCTTGTGAGCGTGCATCCCCAACAGCCCTGGATATGAGGCACAGTGCTGGGCACTGAGGGGAAACAGGTGCTCTTAACCTAGACAGGACCTTCCGAATGTCTGGATGCCCAACTGGCAGGTTCCTACAGGTTCACAAACTGCTGCAGTCCAACAGCAGGTCCCGTCACCATGGTAACCGCTGCCAAGGCATTTCCAGCCTGGTTGTGCACTGGGGGCCTACGTGGATGTGGATGCGGGTGGCTGGCTGTCTGGGTATGGGAGCAGGTAGAGGGAGGGGACAGGCAGACTCCTTAGCCAGGAGTTCTGGATTGAAAATTCCAGAAAGCAGCTCTGAGAGCTAGGGAAATAGGGTGGGGGCAACATGCAGAGGGCAAGTGGGCAGAAAAAAATAGAGCAGTGTGGGATTTCTAGACCTATATGTGTATAGTCTTTAGGCAGTTGTGGATGTGCAAACAGGGAAGCCCCCACTCATGCTGCCCCCTGCTTTACCAGACTGTTCACATCTGTCAGCTTGGTGGATCCTCATGAGGAAGGTAGAGGTCAAGCACTTTTACCCCACTGTACAGATGAGAAAATCGAGAGTGGAAAAGCCTTCTGGCCAGCAGTAGTAAAGACACCTGAGTTCCAATCCTCTGCTTCTCACTTGGTCAGTGCCCACCCCTATAAGCTGTGCTGTACTCTCAACTAGGAGTCCCTTCTCAGTAGACTATGCCTGGAGGCAAGGTCCTGTCTCCTTCACTCGTTCATTCATTCATTCATTGACCATGCCCTGGACCAAGCACCAAGAATACAAATAAACCCAATGAGAGAGTTGCTGAGCCCACTCACACTGTCAGACAGAAGATGCTGTGCTCCCACCCCTAAGTAAGCTGAGAGGCAACCCCCACTGTCTCTGTTCCTCCACTTCCCTCAAAGAAAGGTGTTTGGAGCCCCAGGAGGAGAGCAAGTAGAGTGAACCGAGCAGCACCCGGTGACCCATGCATGCCTTATCAGGCTCCAAGGTGGCCTGTCCACGTCAGTCCAGGCCAGGTCAGGCCTCTTCTCCTCCCTAGGTAGGCAGCCAGCCAGCCTGAGAGGCAGGGGCATGTGCAGCCCAGGCAGTTTGACCAATGGGATCCCAGATCCCAGCCACTCCTCCCAGACTCAGTCACGGGGTTGAACAGAGCCTTGGACAAAGTGAGGGTCTGAGGCAGCCAGGCCAGCGGAGCCAAGACAGCTGACAGGGAGGACAGGGCCACTGCAAGGATGGGGAGGGCATCTAGGAGTCAGAAAGGACTTACTCAGCAGCCATGCCAGGGATGGGCCCCAGGCCATGGCAAATCTGGCCAGGTTTGATCATTCTAAACTAGGCCCCAGCTGGCCACACCATGGACCCTGTGTCCCTGTTCCCAGACCATAGTCGTATCACAGACCTGCCATGTCAGAACAGGAGAGATCATCTTGTCCAATCCCTGGACAGCTGGGAAATTGAGGGAAAGGGCTGAGCCAGGCTCACATAATAGGGGAGGCTCCCAGACCGGGGCTCCTTCCCAGTCAGCCTCTGTCTTCATTCTCTAGCATTGCTATCGCAGAAATACCACAAGGGGATGGCATGACAAATAGAAATACATGCAACCACAGTTTGTTGTTGTTCAGTGCCATCGAGTCAGTTCCAATCCATAGCGACCCTATATAATGTTTCTGAGGAGCAGCTGGTGAGCTTGAACCACAGATCTTGCGGTTCAAACCGACTTTGCAGTCCAGCGCATTAACCCACAGCGCCATAGGACTCACACACAGTTTAAGAAGCTAGAAGTCCAAGGTCAGAGTGCCAGCTCTGGGGAAAGGTCTTTGTGTCCTTTCAACATCTATAGGCCCAACATTCGTTGGAGATTTCCATTTGTCTTGGCATCAGTCTTCCTGGGGGTCTAGTAGTGGCTTCACAGTGTGGGGACCCCAGGTCCAAAGGACTCACTCCACTTCTGGCTCTTCTTTCTGGGTGGAAGTTCCTCTGACCTCTGCTTGCCTGTTAAATCTTTTATATCTCAAAAGAAATTGACTCGATATACAACCTATTCCTATTCTGGTAGTGTAGTTGTTACTAATCGGGCTGCGAACCTTAAGGTCAGCAGTTTGAAACTACCAGCTGTTCCGCGGGAGAAAGATGAGGCTTTCTGCTCCCGTAAAGATTTACAGCCTCGGAAACCCTGTTCAGGGTCGCTATGGGTCAGAACCGACTCCACGGCACTTAACAACAACCTATTCCTATAGATTACATCCATTTATAATTAGAAGGATAGGATAATGACATCAGATCAGAGCTGATCACATCAGATCACATCATGGGATCACATCAGATCACACATCATATTAGATCTCATCATGAGGGGTTGTTGTTGTTACGTGCCGACTCACAGCAGCTGGTGAGTTTGAACTGTTGACCTTGCAATTCAAACCAACCTTATGATCCAGTGATTATCCTACAGCACCACAGCAGGACTCTTGGGGGATTGTTCTTGCTGTTGTTAGGTGCCATCGATAACATCAACAATCCCCCAGGACTCCTGGATTACTACCTCTTAACTGCCAAACCACGGAGAATCCTGGCTGAGTCAAGTTGATATGAAACCTAACTATTGCAGCCTCTGAGGTGATTTGATGACAGGGCCATACAACAGCAGTGACGGTGTTTCCCTCCCACTCCAAAGCATCCATCTCCCAATGATTCAACCTTCTTAAACTCGCTCAATTCCCTGCACTGCCCATGGGCTCCCATCTCTGCCGCCTGCCAGCCTCTACACAGCACCAGAGAGATCTTTCACAAAAGCAAATCCATCAACTTAACAACCACAACATGCTGTGTCTTGCCTTAAATGGAGACTGTGTCTAGTCCCTAGTAACTCCTCCTCCCCACAGGACTTAGCTCTCTCCCTTACGCCCTCACAACTGCTGCTGCTGTTGTTAGGTGCTGTAGAGTTGGTTCTGATGCATAGCAGCGGCCCTCTGCACAACAGAACGAAACACTGCCTGGTACTGTACCCTCCTCATAACTGAGGTTATGCTTGAGACCGTTGATGCTGCCACTGTGCCAATCTAGCTCATTGGGAGTATTCCTCTTTTTCACTGACCCCTTACTTTACCAAGCATGGTATCCTTCTCCAAGGACTGGTCCTTCATCATAATATGTCTGAAGTCTGGCCATCCTGGCTTCTAAGGAGCATTCTTCTAGCTGTACTTCTTCCAACACGGATTGGGTTGTTCTTCTGGTAGTCTGTGGTCCTTTCATTTTTCTTCACCAACACCATCTAACTCAGATGCATGCATTATTCTACAGTTTTCTTTACTCATTGTCCAACTTTCACATGCATATGAGGTTATTGAAAATACCATGGATGGGATCAGGTGTACCAGTTTATTCTCAAACTGACACCTTTGCTCTTGGTACACTTTAAAGAGGTCTTGTGCAGCAGATCTGCCTAGTACAATATGTTGTTTGATTTCTTGAGTGCTGATTTCCTGAGTGTTGATGTTTGATCCAAGCAAAATGAAGTCTTTGACAACTTCAATCTTTTCTCCATCTATCAGTATGTTATTTATTGATCCAGTTGTGAAGATTTTTGTTTTCTTTATATTGAGGTGCAACCCATACTGAAGGACCTCACAGGTGTTTGCAAAAAGCAAGACTGCCCAAGCCTCCCCTCCTCAAGACTCCTCAATGGCTCCCCACTATTCCCAGGGACAAGTCCCAGCCTTTAGCCTGGACACTACCCTGAGCAGCCAGCTCTCCAGGTCCAGAGCACATCCTCAGAACACCCACTCACACCTCTGAGCCTCTACAAGCACACCTTACTTCTGCCTGGAATTCCTTTTCGTGTCTGCCAGGTGAGTCTTTCTTCCCTCTCAGTCTCCTCCCACTGCTGCTTCCTCAGGAAGAGTTAGGCCTCCCTGGACCCCCACAGCACTGCAAATGTGTCACAGCAGTGACCAAGCTGTGTGGGACCTGTCTGTGTTCACAGCTGCCTCCCCCATCAGATGGGTGCCCCTGGAGTAGGACAGCGACCCAAGGCCTGCACAAAGAAATGCCGGTGCCAAAGAAATGCCTGTGGAAGAGGAAAGAAAGGAAATGGCTAATGGCAGGAGAGGCCTTGGAGCTGAGGCTTGAATGATGAGGAAGGTCTGCAGTGCAGTGGCCATAGGACTAGCAGAAAGGAGAGGGATGAATGGTGGTGGCTCAGGTGACAGAACAGCAGAGCAGAGAGAAGCAGGTGGGAGAGTGCGGGGCATACCTGTGTGGATAGAGACCAGGGTCTCAGCAAGACAGCAAGGATAAGGGCCAATTATGGGGAGTCAGATGCCAGGCCAAGGCGTCCTCAGAACCCACAAAATGTGGAGACCAGCCAGAGAAGAGATCATAGTGCCTGCAGGCACCAATCGGCACTGCAGCCCAGGTGCAGAGGAGACCCACCTGCCCTGGTGGGAGAGGAACAGGCTTGGGTGGCCTCTCAAGTTACCCACATAAGGCTGTGTATACACGTTCAACCTGGCTTGGGTTCAATCTGGTTCTACAACTATCTTACTTGGCCTCCGGCAAGCTGCTCAACCTCTACAGGCCTTAGTTTCTTTATTTGTAAAACTGGGATTAAAACACCTACTGCTAAAGATCATTGTGGAGTACTGGTGTGACAACGTCTCAGAAAAGGATAAATACTGGACTGCGAACCACAAGGTTCTGCTCCCATATTTACAGAAACCCTGTGGAATAGGGTATTCTGTCCTATGTTGTTGCTGTTAAGTACCGTGGAGTCGGTTCTGACTCATAGTGACCCTACACAGGGTTTCTGAGGCTGCAAATCTTTACGGGAGCAGAAAGCCTCATCTTTCTCCCGCGGAACAGCTGGTAGTTTTGAACTGCCAACCTTGAGGTTAGCAGCCCGATTCATAACCACTACACTACCAGAGCTCCTTATTCTGTCCTATAGGATCACTGTAAGTCAGAATCCACTCAACAGCAGTGGATTTAAGGGTCATTGTGAGGATAAAATAAAACAGATTAAAGATTGCAAGCTCTTAGCCCAGGGCTTTGTGTATGGCTAACATTTAACGTTTACTGTTAGCAGCATAAAGCCAAGTTTGGGTTTTCTGCACAAATAGAGTGGGGAAAGACCCAAATACAGTTCATGCTGGCCTATGTACATAGTGCTTCCTCACTCAAGAACTCACAGGATGTCGCAACCACCCTGAGGGGAAGCAAGACTGTTATACTGTTTGAAATGTTCTACAAGAGGTTAGGTAGTTACTGGACTCCAAAAACCTGATGAGGGTTGAGCAGCCATGTACCAGACTGCACAACCCATGTTTCCCCCACTCTCCCTCCCTCACCTCTCCTGAGAGGAGAAGAAGAAGGGGGACTGGAAAGTAGGCCCCAGAAGCGGGGAGGGAGGAGCCGTCTTTGGCCCACCCTTATAGCCAACTGGCCAGTCCTATGAAAGACCTCATTGTCTGAGCCAGGCCACGTGGAGCCCAGCCCCTTCTCCAGCCTCTCAGAGAAAGGAAAACAACTGGGGGGAGGGGGGGGTCTCTCTACCAGCAAGGCAGGAGCATTTGTCAACATTCCTAAACTTCCCTACCTTCTTCCCAAACAAGGCTCTGAGGCAGCCTACACACACACACACACACACACACACACACATCATGCACATGCACCAGAAGCCAAAATGCAAACAGAGATGAGGAACCAAATAAGGAGGAGAGGATTACGTGGTTCTCGATGGCTATATCTTAGAGTCTCAGAAAGATGCAACCACTGTACATGGCCTGAGATTTCAGCAGACAAGGCAAAAAAACGGTAGCAGCAGCTACCAAACACTTAAGAAAAAAGGGAGAGTCCTTGTTCCTAAAGCCTGTCTGAGGGCCGTGAGTAAGACTCTCTGTTCTACAGATTCCTGATTCTCAAATAACATTAAACCACATCTTCATTCTAGGAAATAAATAATGGGCCTGAGTGGCACTGAAAATTAATGCACTAGACTGCAAAGTCGGTTTGAACAAAAAGTCGGTGGTTCAAACTCAACCAGCCACTCCTCAGACACCCTATACAGGGTCACTATGAGTAGGAACTGACTCGATGGCACTCAACAACAACAACAACAACAGAACTTTATCATTAAAGTCGACTCTAGTCTGAGGAGGCAGCTCTTCCCTGGTGGTATTTGGAGTGTCTTCCAATCTAAAGGGCTCAACTTCTGGCATTATATCAGACCATGTTCCTTCCACTACTATTTAAATACTTTTCACTATCCATTTTTTAGAAGTAGGAAGTAGATTGTCAGGGCCTTTTTCCTAGTCTGTCTTAGTCTGGAAACTTCACTGAAACCTGTCCACTGCAGATGACCCTGCTGGTATTAGAAATACCAGTAGTATAACTTCCAGCCACAAAGCGCTATCCAAGGCACCACAGTATAAAAGACAGATGAGAGATGGAACAGAGAATATCATTACTGATGGATCTTGGTTGAAAGCAGAGACAGCAGAAAAATGTGTAGCTGTGTTTCATTGGCTATACAAAAGCATTCCACTGTGTGGCTCATAACAAATTATGGATAATATTGCTAAAAATGAGAGTTCAACTATGGTCATGAGGAACCTGTACACAGGGCAAGTGGCAGTCATTTGAACAGAACAAAGGGATACTGAATGGTTTAAAGTCAGGAAAGGTGTGCATCAGGGTTGTACCCTTTCACCATCCTTATTTAACATGTATACTGAGCAAATTATCTCAGAAGTTGGACTCTATGAATGAGACATGGCATCAGTATTGGAGGAAGACTCATTAACAACTTTCAATAGACAGATGGCACAACCTGATTTGCTGAATGTGAAGAAGCTTGAAGCAATTATAATGAAGATCAAAGACTACAGCCGTCGGTATGGATTACACCTCAACATACAGAAAATAAAGACCTTTGCAGCTGCACCAATAAACAACATCATGGTAAAGAGAGAAAAGATTGAAGGTGCCAAGGATTTCATTTTACTTAGCTCCACAATCAACGACCATGGAAGCAGGAGTCAAGAAATCAAATAATGGATTACATTGGGCAACTCTTCTGCAAAAGACCTCTTGAAAGAGGTGCACCTGACCCAAGTCTTAATATTTTCTATCGCCTCATATCCATGCAAAAGCTGAACAGTGAATACAGAAGACCAAAGAACTGATGTCTTTGAATTATGGTGTTGTGAGGAATATTGAGTATTCCATGGGTTTTCAGATGAACAACAAATCTGTCCTGGAAGACGTACAACCAGTATGTTCCTTAGAAATGAGTATGTCAAGACTTCATCCCATATACTTTGGACATGTTATCAAGAAAGACCAGTCCCTGGAGAAAAACATCATGCTTGGTAGATGGTCAACACAAAAGGGGAAGACTCTCAATGAGACGGATTAACACAGTGGCTACAACAACAGGCTCAAAGACAGCAACAATTGTGAGGATGGCACATTTTGTTGTACTGCAACCCTATAGGACAAAATAGAACTGTCTTCTAGGGTTTCCAAGACTGTGGCTCTGTAGGATAAGCCCTGGACTGCTAACCACAAGATCAGTAATTCAAGCTCAGCAGTTGTTCCCTAGGAGAAAGATGAGGCTTTCTGCTCCTACAAAGGTTTACCGCCTCAGAAATCCTATACAGGGTCATTATGAGTTGGAACCGACTCAAAGGCACTTAACTACACAATAGCAATCGTTACCAAAGCAAACTGTCACAACTTACTTTGACACTGGTGGTGTCAAACCATGGATCTTTTGGTTCATAGCTGAGCACTTATCCATGACAGCACCAGGGCTCCTTTAAACAAATAGTGGGTTTTATTATGGGCTCGATGGTCCTCAATTTCCTCATCTGTCAAGTGGAGCATTTCAATAGATAATCTCCAATACTCTTTTCAGCCATAAGAGACGTTGGCTTACTAAGGAACTCCATCACAAGGCCCATCCCTGTGCACACCTCCAGTCTTGTTCCAGCTCCGTCCCTCTCTGGGTCCAACCAAAGTGCCTTTCTTACAGTTCTGTACTCTTCATGCTGCCTCCCGCCAATGGAGTTTTGTCAATCTGCCTGGAGTACTCTTCCCTCAAGTCTGTGGCATCTGCTCACCCCTTAGCCCCATTATCTCTGCCCCATCCTCAGAGCCCTGGCATACTACACCTCGCCTCTGCAACTCGCGACACTGAGACAGTGTTCATTTACTTATTGGAGCATTTTGAATGACATCTGACCATAAGATCCATGAAGTCGGGAACCCTCTCTCTACTCCTGTCATCCATGGGGCTTAGCACAGAGCCTGTGTCATTGTGATTGTGGACCAAACGAATGAGTCTGTTCAGTGGGTCCCTGAGTCCTACGAGCATCACTCTATGTGGACTGGGAGGATCTAAACTTGAGATCAGAAGAAGTTCACCACTAGAGACACTGGTCCCATCTCTACTCCCTCACCCCATTCTAAACTACAGAATCTGAACATCACCTGCCTCCCTCCACCCCCAAATATAAAAATAACCTTGATTGAAATCTGACACCATCTTGACAACTGCCCCTGCCCACTGAGAAGCCTGCCAAAATGCCAGATAGGACAGGACGGGTCAGGCAGTTCCTGACCCATGGGCAAATTTGTGAGGTATTACCACTGGTACACAAGGGGACCTGAGCCCAGAGAAATCTCAACTCCAATTCAAGGTCACACAGCTCTAAATCACACAGCCAAGACTTGACCACGGACCTCCTGACCCTCCTGCTCGGTCCTCAGTTCCATGAGAGTAACAAGGGCTTTGTCATTATTGCTGCTTTGTTGTATGGAGAGGGAAACTGAGGCATGGAGGCTCTCTGTCAAAGGTCCTAAGCAAAGGGATTTAGAGTTTGACACTTATTGAAAGTTATTTCCTCCAGCAGATACTTCTCCCCATCTCTACCCAAGAACAGCGTGGGGCTCAAAGGAGAGTTCCAAATAAGGCTCTAGACTAACTGGGAAGTGCTATGGTGCTCCTGTGAGGGAACCAGTGACTGGAGGAATCCTGCTTTTCTCTTCTCCTTGGCATAGTTACACTCTGCTCTCATGGGGCTGTGTACACCAAGCAGGGAACTGACTAGCCAGCTCCTGCTCACACCCCTCCAGGCCAGAGATCTCGGCATGTTCAGAGAGATGGAGAAGAGCAGAGTCTTTTGTGAACAGCCCCCGGGAGGGTGACATCTGGAATCCAGCTGGGCACTCTTGTTGTTGTTTATAAGTGTCATCAAGTCGGTTCCAATCCATAGCTACTCTGTATAGTTTCCAAGGAGCCGCTGGTGAGCTTGAACCACCAACCTTGTGGATCAAACTGACTTTTCAGTCCAAAGCATTAACCCACAGCATCACACCA